AAATAAAAGAATAAAAAATAAATAAAATAAGAAAAAGAAATGTTTTAAGTTTTTTGTTTTCGTTTTTCTTATTCATTTCTTTTTTATTAGCTGAATATTCAAAAAGACGTCGTTTCGTTTTTCATTCTGAAAATTGTTTGACTTATTTCAATGAATTATTCTTTCATTCTCAGAAGCAATCTTAAATACTTACATTATTTATTGTCTGAGATATTTCTCTCTTCTTCATAAATATATTAAGTTATATGAGAAATTTTCACATTAACTTTTTGAATTTCCCTTTTTTTGGGAAATTTTTTTTTCAAAAGAAATTATTAGATATAGTTAATATATTTCAGGCAAAAATTAAATTAAATTAAATATTTATATAATTCCGCTTGAAATTTCTCCTTCTCTTGTTTAATTTTAAAATAATATTCATGTCAAAAATTATCAGCTATAAACAACAATGATATGATCAGCATTATCATCATTACTATCATTATCATTATTATTAATATTATCTATTATTATCATTAATTATTATTTATTATTATTGTTGCCATCATCAACATTATCATCATTATTATCAGTATTGCTATTATTAATACTATAGCATCATGATCGCTGCTATCGATGGTTATTACCGCTATCGCTATCATCATTGTCATTACTATATTTATCATCATAATCAGTATTATCAACACTTGCGCATTTGGAAATGACATAAAAAGGATAAAATTTTCCAATGATTTAAAAATAAAATTTACAACCATCTAATGATAAAAGATGATCACGACAACAATGACAACAATGATCATGATAACAACAACAACAACAACAACGACAAAGACTTAGAGAAGGATGACATCTGGTACGGATTAAATTTGGATAGAATGAATGAATTGCGGTATCTCAACAAAATATACAATAGCACAAGAAAAGATTAGCAAATCATCAAATATTTATAAATCTTTTATCATCTGCTTCAAAACAAAATATTCTATATTATTACTATAATTTAACTAACATATTTAAAAAAAAATCTAAGCAAAAATTATAATCAATAAAATTGCAAAAATCAAAATCATTTTTTGTTATCTTTTTTCTTTTGTTTACTCTTTCTTTTTTCCATTTCCTTTTTGTACTCGTTTAATTTTAAATAGCTTTTATTCATTCTGTGTTATATTTGATAAGAATATGGCAGTTCACTGATTGAAAACATATGTTAAACATATCGATCATTATATTATAGAAAAATATATTTTATGTTAAAATTTAGAAAGAAAATAATTTTTGGAAAATATCAGAAAATCAAAAACTTTTTTCGCCTTTTTATTTTTGATTTAATTAATGATGAATTATGATTCCAATTATTATATGAATATAATTAAAATTAATTACATATCATTCCTAATTTATTTTAAACTACATGAATGTTTATGATTTACATTCTGAATTAAATTAAAATCAGTAAATTAAACTCTCAATAGTTTGTTTGTTTTTTCTTCACAAAAAATTAAACTAATTAAATTGTTGCAATGAATAAATCATTGTCATTTTTATAAAATGGAAAATATTCATTAATTAAATTAATAAATACTAATTGACATTTAAGGAAATTGGTAATAAAAATGAAAAAATTAGATTTAACATTCAATTACAATCATATATCACTGCAAAATCATTCATTTATCTCATTTTCTAATCCTATTAATTCACATTTAAAAGATATAAATTTTATCAATATATAATCAATTATTTTTCAAACTGCTATTGTATGTATATATGTATATGTAATAGTAATTATAAATTATTGATTAAAATAATATAAATAATTGATTAAAATGCTATCATTGATTATTTGAATGATGCAAAAGTGATTACAAATATTTCTTTTCTTACAACAAAAAAATAAAAAAAACGAGAAATTTACATTGATTATGTTTATTTCATTAAATTATTAAATTAGTCATATCTGAAATGAAAAACATATAAAATTTATTATCGCAACTATCTCTCTTCTTCTTCTCATTAATTAATTGTTCGTCATTTCCTCAATCTTTAACCATTAAGAATGATAGTGATAATAATAATATTATATCACTTATCATCTACCGCAATCAATCGTTAAATAATAATAATAATAATCATATGTTAGTTTCGTAGATACATACAATGTTATGAAATAAACAACAAAGAGAGAGAGAGAGAGAGGGAGAGAGAGAAAGATAACAAGATAAGGTATGTCACAAAAAAGGAAAAATAGATTAATCTTCATAAACTTTAATTGGTTCGTCCAAATGCAACTTCCATTATGTATGTATTTCGTTGACAGTCAGGACAAGATGAAATTAATATCATTTGATAATCAAAGATTACAATCTTTTTTTTTTTCTCTCTCTCTCTTTTTTTTATTAATGATTGTTAGTTATCTATCGTTAGATTACAGCAATAGTTGTTGTAACAAACAACTAAACCAATCAACTCAACTCAACCTTACCCAACTCTACCCTACCCAATCCTACTATCCTACCCAACTCAACTAACCTAACTATCAACAACTATTGTTTGATAATATATTTAGATGAATTGAGTGAGACATTTTGTCAAACATATGTTGTCACAATGTGTGTGACATTGAAAATATTGGATGGAGGGGGAAATTAAAATTTATTTCTTCGTTTTCTTTTTTTCTTCTTTCATTGTTTCTTTCTTAAATTAAATTAAAAAATAAGTAAAAAATTTTTTAAAAATTTAACCTATGAAGGGAAGAATGTATAAATGAAAATTTTTTGAGTAATTAAATTATAGAAAAATAATATAAAAAAAAGATGAATGAACAAGAAAAAAAAGTTACTTTTTTTTAAACTTTGTTATTCTTTTTTAAATAATTAATCTTTATTTTGTTTATTTTTTTTTTAACTAAAATTGATTTTTTTTTCAAAAAAAGAGAAAAAAGAAAAAGGAAGAAAGAAAAGAAATGTTAAGCACATTTTATGCATAACATATATTTTTATCAATTTTTTGCCCACTTAATAATTGTACAGAAAATTATGATAATAATGATAATGAGAGGAATATGCGCTAATACCGGTAAAAATCTTTTATTTATTGTTCAAAAAGCAATACCCGATTAACATTCGAGTAATTAAAATTTGCTTAAAAAGAAATATTTGAAAAAAAAAAAAAAAGTAAATCTCTTCTAATACAGTTACATTTTCATATAAGAATTTTAATTTTTAACACAATAGATGAATGAAAAAAAAAAATTTGAAACTTTTTTTTCGAAAATTTACAAAATGTAATTCCAATATTACACATACACATAACACATATACATTTACAATATATATGTGCATAACTGACTAAAAATGAAAACAATAATTCATAATTGAATTGAATATAATTATAGATGAAAGAAAAATAAAATTAAATTTGAAATATGCAAAAGCATTGTTAAGTGAATTTTTAAGAAAAAAAGGGAGGAAATTAAAATAAGAAAAGAAATAAAACAAACATATTGTTAGTGATAATAAAATATCATTCCTCTCTAATCATGCTATTTAAATAAGATGAAATAATTTTCCTTTAACAAATAAAAAGAAAGAAAAAATTAAGCAAAAATGAACAATCTTCATTTACATAAATATTAGATAGTATTTCCCGCAATTCATGAGAGAAAAGAAAAATCCACGGATACAGGTTGCATTTTTGAAATTCCAAATTGAATTTTTTAAATTTATCAAAATTCAAGTTCATCAATTCCATGACTTCTTCCCTTTTTAATACCAATCTTTGATTACTTTTGCTAGTAGTGAAGAGTAAACTAAAAAAAAATTACGATCAGTTATAATGATATTGGCATATCTTTTCCCTTTTTTGTTATCAAAAAGAAAAAAAAAATCAAAAAACTGATATAATTCATAAAATTGATAATATTGATATAATTTTCAGAAAAATTTATATAATCATAGAATTTAAAAATCGGTAGAAAAAAAAAAAGAATATTACAACATTTCCTCATAAATACAAGTAGAATCACTACAAATAAAGAAAATAAATAAGCACAATATTTTTACTTGGTTTACTTATTTAGCAAATAAGTTTATCTATTTTTTTTTTCCATTTAGGAGATAGCAAACAAATTCACAAATATGAAAAGCACATGGAAAAAAATTCCTTTTGATGTTAGAAAAAAAAATGATCAAAAATTTTTTAACAATTAACAGAAAAAAAAAAAGAAGGAAAACCGGTTCCACAAAAAGGAATATAATAAATATAAAATGATAAATAAAAATGGAGTTGATGAATTGATGCTTAAAAAATAATGAATGCTTCAAACAATATCATACATGCATAATATATGTATTGCATAAATTACAAAATTTACAATAAGAATTGATAAAAAAAAAGAGAGCACATGAATTAAGTGTTGGATAAATCATTGATGTAAGAAAGATTAAACTTAATCAAAAATGTTACTTCGAAATTTCACTACTTTATTACTTCGATGATATATGATAAAGTAATCCTGATAATAATTTATAGAGAAAGCTATAAGCTATAAATTTTACAATGTTGCTGTTATATATATAAAAAAAAAAGCTTACTTCCTTTTAGCTTCGTAATTATAATTCTTTTGAATTTATTCTATTTCTAAAACCAATCATTTTACTATCATATTTCGTATTTTCCATATATCAGAAAAATTTCTAATCTATATAGCTTTTTTTTTTTAAAAATAATTTTCTTGTTTCTAAAATTTCAAATAAAATAACACAATTCATATAATCAAACTTATATAGAGATAAAAAAAAAAAGATTAAAAGAAATTTCTAGTTTTTTTTTTAAAAAAAGAAAGATGCAATGAATATAATATAAGGAAGTGAAGTATACAGATGGCAAGAAAATTACGATTTAAAACTTTTTTTTTTAAATTCACAAACATGAAAGAATCATTATCATTTATGGAAAAAGAAAAAAAAAAAACACTGAGTTTAATTGATCGCATTCCTAATTCATTTTTTTGAGCGAGATATTTTGGCAGTTTTTTCGGCTAGATGTAATGGTATCGATGAACCACTTGTTGATTTACTGAGCGATGTTACGCTACGTACCGATCTATAAAAAAAAAAAAAAAACAAAACAAATTTTTAAATAATTATTGTTAAAAAAAAAATAAGAATAAAAAATTCAGCGAAAGAATTATCGGTTTTTTTCTTTTTTTATGATCGCATTTGATTGTCACATCATAATATTTCTTTGCAAGATAACAATAAATGATCTTCTTTCGCCTAATTAATTAAACATTTTTCATGACAAAATTAGGTGATTCAAATTTCAGATATTCATTTGTATGCTATATAAATATGATCAATGATTGTTGAAGCTTCATCTCGCATTTAAAAAAATTTTGAAATTCAAAAAAGTGATAAGCTAACATTGATCGATCAAGTGAAGGTGCCGAATTGACCGATCTTGTTGTATCATGTGAAAGATGAGTAGGTGAGCTTGAATTATTTATTTCATAAAATTTAATCCACTGCTCTTGTAACTGCTCCTCACGACTTTTCAATTCAGCCTACAGATAACAACAGTAATCGATATGATTACATTGTAAATATGTAAATCATTTAAAATAAAAAGAAAAAAAGTTAAAAGTAAAAGAGTACTGAGATGATTTGAGGATTTATTTATTTAGTGAAACAATTCATCTAAAAATATGTCACATGCGATTACCATTTACTTATGATGTCATTTATGAATTTCATTTCATTTAAAGTACGACAGGTGAATAAATATTCATGTAATAAGCCAACCTAAAATTATTATTCCTAAGCTAATCAAATTTATCCCTTTAACCTAATTCATTTCAACCATACAATTAATCGATGCTATTATTTTGATTATTTTCATTATAATCAAGCATTAATATCAAAATAATTTCCACTTAACATAGCTTTAAACATTTGTAAATTTCAGATAGTTAACAACTGATTCAATGAATTATTGTATAAATCATATCAACATTAACAGTGCTAACTTATTCTCAAAGATATCGAAAGTTCACTTCATCAAATAAATTCATGATAACACCTGTCAAAAATTCATTTACTTAAACTTTATTTAAAGTTCACTTACTAGTCACGTGAATCAACACTAAATTCTATTTACTGAAAAGAAAAATTGGAGAACAAAAAAAACAAAACAAAAAGCAATTACAGTATCCTAATCATCAATCAAAATGAAAAGAAACAAAAAATGAAGTATTGAGATGACAAGTGAAAGATGAAATCTAAGATCATCATGCACACTAAATTAAACACCTAATTTGCATATATCTTATCCGGAATCATTTTCGCCTCTCTTTTTTCTTTTCTTTTTTTTATTTAACAAACCGTTACCGCCAATTTCTAAACCATTAGCAGCTGATAATACCATATTAAAAGAAAAAAAAAAATTAATGACAGTATAATCCGTTCAATGAATGATAGACACGTGGAACAATCATCTAAAGATGTTTACAGAAAATGATTATTAATGAAGAATTAGTGAATTACTGAAGCTAATAGGAAGTAAAGTAAAATACTAAAAAATGATTTGTAATCAAATAAAAAAAAAGAATATATATTTATTGAAAAAAGTAAATAATAGGATAAAATATTAATGTAAAATTTTCAATAAATAAAAAAAAAAAAATTGTTTTTTCAAGAAAAAAAAGCTAATTTTTTAAGAAAAAGCTAATTTTGAAAAGGTGTCAATATTAAAATTAACAATAATTGTTATTAATTAATCCATATACAGATTTCTACTTAATTTTACCAAATTTTCACATCTCAAATAACACAAAAATTTCATTCTATTTCATTAATTTTAACAAAAATATTACAAATTACCTCTTTCTCTAACAATTCGGTGGTTCGTCGATTTATTTCATCTACACGAAGTTCACAAAATATCTTAAATTCACGTTTATCATTTTGTAATTCATTCTGTTTGTTGCGTAATGCTTCCAATGCACTAGCTGGAACGGCCGCCAAACGTCGACTTTTTAGTGATGCAATACGTAACTCACGACTGTAATCAAGAAAGAAAGTAATTTGTCAACTCAAAAAAAGAAAAAAATTCTTTATATTCCGACAAAAGAAGAAAGAAAAGAAAAGCGTCTGCACAACTGATAACATCAATTGATAAAAACTATTGCACTATACTTTGATTATAACAGCAACTACAGCACTACTATTCCGATGATTACAATAAATTACTCAGGTAGTTATAGAGCAATTTACACCAATCAACAACTCTATCATATTTAGTCATCATATAAAACGATTAATACTGAATGAAAAAATGAGGGAACTTTTCATTTTTTGACTTATTTTTTTTTTTTACCAAAATGAAAATTACTACTAAAGGATAAAAAAATAATTACAATATTAATTATTCAATTTTCCTAAGATTCATTAATTTTTATAATTTTTTCTTTTTTTCTTTTTTTTTTTTTAACAGTGAAAAGAAGTATGGAGAAGATCTTAGCATTATACAATAAATAAATCTCATGAATTGATCAAAGAAAATTAAGATAACTTATAGTGACAAGGATTATATTAATATAGTTTATAAAATGGGTAGCAAAGTTTTTTTTTTAGTTAAATGATCTATTAGTATAGCAAAAGGAATTATAAAGCGCAAGAAAATAAAATTCATTTTTCAAAATACTCAAAGTATACCCTTTTGTTAATTCCTAAATTTAATAAACAAAGAAACTTACAAAGCAATTTCACTTTGTAATTGATTATTTTCAACCCTGAGTTGAGCGTTTTCTCGAATAATACTTATAGCTGCACGACGTGCCATCGGACTCAAAAGTAACTGCAAATGGAAAAATTTTTTTAAAATTATAGCAATGAAATGAAATGATCAAAAATTGTTTCAGAAAGATTACAAACATCAACCATTCATTATTGCAGCAGCTACACTAAGATTATCAGAACTGTTTAGACATTCAAAACTGAATTTCCTGATGATGACTTTACTACAACCCGGATTAGCATTTCGAATGATACTTAGAGATTGTAATAATTGCCGATGAAAAAAAAAAAAAATTGATGCATAAAGATAAAAACCGGAAGTTTTCTCCTTTCTTCCTCTTCTGCTGCTGAATCATGTTCTTCACCATAAATTCTTACATCAGCTATTTGAGGTTCGGTTGTATGCCGTCGCACAGAACCACCTGCAAAATGAAATTAATAAAAAAAAATTTACTCCAAACTCTGTGCTCAATTCTTTAATAAATTTTAACTATAAATTTAAAAGTAAATTCTTTCATACTTATTAAATTTGAATAAGTTCAACATCATACTACATTTTATTCTCTAATTTTTGAAAATTTTTGAAAAATTGATATCAAATAAATTTTATATTTAACCTTTCCTTCGTTCACCGATACCACTGAAGGTACGATTTCGTCTTGGTAATTTCTGACGACCTTCATCACTCTCACTATGATCTGTTGAATGATTTGAATCTGATGTTCCAATGCTAGCATCATATATATCATCAAAAAATGATACAAAATCATCTTCATACATTCGTTCAGCACGTTGCGCAACTATAATTATTAGTGACAAATAAATAAATAAATAAATAAATAAATAAATAAATAAATAAATAAATAAATATATATATATATATTAATTCTTATTTTATATTATATAAAAAGTCTAAAAACATAATATTAAAATAAAAAAAAAAAATTAAATCTCAAATTGATATTTACTAACTTTTACTCAATGAACTTCTTCTTGCTCCACGTAATTCAGCAAATTTTTGTTTAACCAAACTTTTTAACTGAAATAAGAACAAGAAAAAGAATTATACTTTTAAACAAAAACCAGATGCTAAATCATTTCAAAGTTTATCATATTTTTAAAAAAAAAAATTTATAAAATTAAATCTACAAATTTAAGTATAACAAATATTAACAATGATACCTTTTCTCGTACAACATTCCGACTCATATCTGTTCGATCTGTTAGTGGAACTTTTGCAATATGCGAACGAAGCTGTTCAAACCATATTAATCGTTTCTCAATATAATCAGACAATTCTTTTTCGTCTTTTATACGCTTATCTATAAATTTGCTTAAAAATTATATCAAAAACTTGAACAATAATCAATTCTTTCTTTTAGAAAAAATTAAATCTTGAAATATATATAATTATTGAAAAATAAAAGTTAGAAAAGGTACTGCAATGTGAAATAAACTACTTTTAAAGATGACATTTATATCTGATCGTATTATATCAACATGTTCATTAATATATGGGTGCTGACGATATTTTATATCATTTCGTTTTAACTCAACAACTTGGAAAAAAAAAACTTTCACTTTGATTATGAATTATAAAGCTTTCACCAAAAATTTCACGCAGTTTCTCTTCCCAAATTGCAATTTCTTCATTAAGCTTTTTTTCTTCCGGATCTTCATCCGGTAAATTCATACCACTTGCAACTGTTGCTCGTTTCACTGAAAAATTTGATAAAATCTGTATCAAACTTTCATAAATTGCTTAGGAAAGAGCACAAATTAAACAGATAAAAATTTATAAATAAGAATTCATCTCATATCTTTAATTTATATGAATTAATTATACAATAATGTTAGTGCGATAGTTTAAATGAATCAACCTCTAATCAGTTACCACTATTAAATTGTAGTTCTTTTAAAAACATAATTTTAAAGCTTTATCGGTTAAAAAAAAAAAAAAAAAATAAAATTTAACCAAATAACTTCTGTTCATAATAAAACTTTCAAATGACTTTAGAAATAAATATGATAATTATAAAAAAATCAAACATAAATTATAAGTTATATAAATTTATAATCTAATTCAAATTACTCCAATATATAACAATTTTTGTGGGTTAAAAATTTTGAACTATTGCTAATTCTCATGATTAGATAATAATTACTACATTTTAATTATGATGCATTAAATTTAAACAATATGTATAATAATATTATGCATATATGTTGACAATTTCATTTATAATCATTACTATAACTAAAACTTTGATCTCTTTATGTCATATGTAAATGTAATAAACTGTTTGCAAAGTTTACATAAATTAAACTAAACATATGGTAATATGTACATAACATTGAGCATAATCAAGTCCTGTGGGAAATAATAGATAAATATATGATTGATTGCTAATGAGGAAATATAATGATGAAATTTCTCATTAAAACATGGATAAAGGAAGAGAAAGAATGTAAGAGCAAACAATCAAATATTTAATAAATTTCATTTATAAGGGAGCTAATAAATGTAAAAGATTATTTTAAAAAATCAAATAAAAAAGAAAAAAAAATTACTAGATTAAAAAAAAATGACAGAGAGAGAAAAAGAAAAAAAAAACCTATGTTTAGTGGTAGGGTGCAACATATAAATTAAAAAACTTAATTTTGAGATACTAGGAAATTTAAACTTCATTTTATCCTGTCATGTTATAAATAATGCAAAAATAAAAAAAAAAAAATTGTAAATTTAAACCTGGGAATAACTTCATTCTATTTCAAACTCACATCATCATAATCAATCAAAAATGACAATACGATAGCGTCCAGTCGTCTTTTTTAAAGTTTTTATTTTTGAAATTACATGAAAACATATTATCTCATTGCTATTATTCATACACTGTGTTTAAGTTTCAATTTTCATAATTAAATGATACTTATTATAGTAAAATGAACCAACCATATATTGGTGCCATATTTTTTGACACTTCAATTGCTTTCTTCCATTGATCAACATCAGCTTTAGAAGTAAAACTCACAACAAACAAATCAGGACACGGATCATCAGAAAGTAAAAAGAATAATTTCGTACTACGTGGCACTTCACGAACCAATAATTTGTTTAGCGCAATCACTGTGCTCTATAATAATAATTTTTTTTAAACAAAATTAATTTCAATTTTTTAATTTCCTTAAAGTTTCATTAAATTGTCTAAAATTATGACATTTAAAAGTAATGACAATAAAAGAAACATTAGAAAGTATTTCTAATATATGCAAAAAAAGAAATTAAAAATAAAACCAGGATATGCAATTATATTTTTTAATTTCTATTTCAATAATAGAATAAATTAATAATAATGTCAAGTGTAATATTTGTATTAAAAGATAAACGTGAAAAATATCAAGTAAGATTGTTTTCATATTAGAAGTAAAAAAATGTAAGCAGAAAAAATAACTCCAGATCCACGATCAAGAAATACATATTTGTTGTTACTCGAATTTGTCAGCAAAATTAGAATATCATCGAACAATACTATTACAACTTCTGAAATGCACATTTTTTGAAAGAATAATAATGTTAGAAAATTATGTTTCACAATTTATATCACATATGATTAAGAATAATTTTCCTCTATATAATTTGTAGTTAATGAAATTTGGAAGAAAAAATTATGTTAAAACTATTCCCATTGCATGTTACAAGCGATTCTTAATGAAATATTGAAATAAAATTATACAATAACCATATAACAAAAAAAGAAAAAAAAAAAAAAAAAAGATTATTTAGCTTTTTTTACTGAATAATTTTACTGAATTTCATTTCAATTAAACTGGAATTGAAATTTTACTCCATATTACTTGAGAAATAATATAGTAAATTGTGCTGGAATTTGACTGAAAAAATTTTATTTGAACCATAATCTTACCAAAATTTACTTTCACTAAATTATCTAATTTATACTTAGTTCATTTCTTCCCTTTTTTTATGTCATATTTTCCATGTCACATGACTAAACAGTACGCCTAGAATAGAAACTTTATCATATCAAAAGATATTGCATAACCAAATTTCAGCACAAATTACTATATTATTTATCAAACAATAATATAAAGGAAAATTTCAAAGCAAACAAATGAAAAAAAAAATGATAAAATTTATTTAAGCAAAAAAAAAAAAAAAAAGTTACCTGTTCCTTCAGAATGTTTTTTCTGTGAATTCTGGCAAACTGCACCACCTATACAAATTACACGTCGTTCCTCATCACTACCATTTAGTATGAGATCATCATACTAAAATAAAAAACACATATAAGAAATAAAAGTAAATACTACAAAATTTCCAAAAAAAATTTTAATTAATTTGATAAAAGTTCATACCAGACATAAAATCAATATTAAAAAAAGAGGAAAAAAAGAACTTTAAATTTATAAAAGAAAAAAGTCTTTAAAATTGATCATATATGGATTTCATTTATTCTTTTTTTGCTAAATAATGAATTGCTATTTTCTAATTCTTGAACCTATATAGTTTCATCTTTAATAACATTTACAAATTTATAACACTATGCTTTTTCTTTTTGAGACTTAAATAGATCAAAATGTAAAATGAAAAAAAAAAAAATTAATAATTAAATTTAACATACTGTAAAAAAATCATTTGGTCCAAAACGACCTTTTGACGTACGATCCATTTGTGAGCGTACTCGATCCCAACGTCTACTTACTTCTAATTTAGCAATTTCATTATTAACATGCATCGCAAATTTTTTCACTGCTTGATGAGCTCGTATACTTTCCTCTTTTGCTGTACCATTTTCCATTTCGGTAATCTATAATAATTTAAATTATTTTAATATTAGATAAAATAAATTGATAGAACTCATGAGTCTGACAGAAAAAAAAAAAAAAAGAAAAAATAATTAAAATATTATTAGTAGAATCAAATCTAATTTTAAAAAATAATAAAACTGAAGGTATTAATGTTTCATGTAATGAAAAAAAAAAAAACTTTTTTTTTTTTGATTTAATATACAAAATTAATGCAAACTAAACGATTACAATAAAATGAATAGCTAAAATGAGAAATTGAAAAAAAAAAAAAAAAATAAATAAATAGATGAAATAATTGCCTAATTTATTCCCTACCTTTATTTTCTTATCAAAAAACTGCATATAATCATCATTTTATCATATGGCTTCTCATTAATTCTATGCTTATTTTTTTTTTTTCTTTCAAATTTACTTATCTCTATTTTGACATAAAAATCTGATCTTAAATAACAATATCAATTAGAACAAGTAGTCTCAAAACCACACTAAACTGTTTTTTACGATAAAATAATAAGAATTTCATAAGAATAAATCAACTAAGATTATTTATCAATTCAATAAAAACAGATTGCAAAATTTAAAACTCACTTTTTCTACTAGTACAGGATATTTAGTTAATCTTTGAGCAATCAATAACAAACACATTTTAAATGTTCGCCCTTTATAAGTTGAATCTTGCTCATACTGCTGAAAAAAAAAGAAAAAAAAATTAAATTATAAAAAAGAAAGGTAAAATTAAACTTCTTGAACAGTTTTTTTCGTTTTTTCTAAACATAAATTTCATCTAATGATGATTTTTTTTTTTCGGAATCAAAATCAAATTCATCAAATTACCTTACATCAAAAAATTTCTTAAGTTCAGCATTCTTCATCATCCATTCATCGTACAAACGACCACACTGATCATATTTTGAACAAAATTCAGTATAAGCATATACTGCAGCTTGGTTTCGCTCTCCTTTTTCGAACTTCAAATAAAATTTTCGAAGTAAAATTTATATTAGTAAAATGTAGTAGAGTAGATAAAATAGTTATTATTGCAATTAGTAAAACAAATTTTAATAACATAGGAATTTAATTAATAATGTAATATTGCTAGGAACTTCTTTTTTCTTTTTGGAAAGTAAAAGACTTAAGATATCACTTATCATAGTTTTCTAATTTCAACCATGCTTGGAAAATTTCGAAAAATCAATAAAACAAATTATGTTCTGTTTAGTTATGAAATCGAATTATAAAAATATTTATTAATTTTAATATTCTAATATCATAATTACTGAAATTATAACTAATTGTTATGCCAAAATTCTTTCATCTTTCAAACAAAATATGAAAATATTTTAGCAATAACAAAATAATTTCTCATTTTTTACCTCTGAATAAATAATTTTTGCTACCGAATTAACAACTTCTGTTTCCATTCGTTTCTGATTCAATCGTCGCAAAAAATTAAGATGAAAATCAAGCAATGCATCCAATACGGGTGGAATTAGCTCATTTTGTTTTGCTTCATCCAAAATATTCTTTATTCGAAGACCTTCTTGATAAACCTGAAAGAAAGAAAAAACTTTTGTCTAAAAAAAAATTTTTTTCAAAATGATAACTTTAAGTTATGCTATGCATACTCATAATTTAATGCAGCATAGATATTTCCACTCTAAAATCCTTATTTCAAAATTAAGATAAATGAAAAAATTTTTTTTTTGAAATAAACAATTCGAATAAAAAAAAAAAAAAGGAAGAATTAGAATTCATTCATATTTTCAATAATGAAATAAAATCTAAAGTATCATTTCGTAAACAGATCTTGACAAATAGAGCAAGCTTATTAATACTAGCAATTGTTACCCACTTTTATCTACATTCTTGATTATTCCCCCACTAATGAAAGTCTACCTCTATAATAACTAAAATTTTGAATTTAATCAAATTAAATTGAAAATACTTACTTGCTGAAGGATTACCAGTACTTGGCAATGATGTTTCTCAGTCAAATATAACTCTGAAAAGAGATATCTAAAAATTAAATTCAAATTAATTCCAACTTTTTCATTCAGATCTTTTCAAGATATACATAGAAAAATTAGAAATAATTAAAAATTCTGTGATAATTTACAAATACGATAGAAATAAAATAACCATGAATAATATCTTGTTTCTTTCGCTCTTTTTTACTTAATTTGAGAGAATAATTATTGGATGACCATGTTGCTGGTTCTTCAGTCCATAAGTCCAAATCAGCCCATTCTGATTTATTCCTTAAATTTAAATTTTCAAATCAACTTTTACCACTATTAAGACTCAAATCAAAACAAATTTTTGCATCAAACTATGAATTTGTTTTGGAAAATTTTCAACAGAAGTAAACCACTTGTAATATTTCATACAAATACTTTATTAGATTATGCATAGTCTCTTGATTATTTCATTATTATATGCTATACATTTAATATGAAATGTAAACTTATTAAAATTCATTATTAGAAGTGTATTAATATGAACTAAACAACTTTTTACTTTGCTATATTTGTTAGAAAGAAATATTTCTTACAATTCTGGAATAAATCTTTGTGCTTCTTTGCTAAATTGTGAAGCTAAATGACGACCATCACTAGCACCAATTGTATTTGGTATTTTATCCAATAATGGTTTCGTTAGCGTATCCAGTGCTCCTAAAATTAACATTTATAATTTAAAAAAAAAAAAAACTAACAAAGAAATTTTGAAAATAAAATTAACTGCAAAAATCAAATGATCATTTAAAAAATTTTTATTTTTTTAAAATTTCATCAAGATTTCAGCAATCTCTAGACTAGCACATATCATTTGATGTATTATCAGACAAGATTTATCAACGTTTAAAACCATTTCATAGTTTAAAATTAGCAAGAACTGCTCAATTTTCTTCAACTCTCAGGTGCTGTTTTTCTTTCTACGTTAAAAACTTAACAAATGTCTAAAGTTAATCAACAAGTGTTAAACAGGTAAATGTGTATGAGATTATGAAGATACCATATAAATGCTACAAATCGAATCTTCAATTGATTAATCTAGCAATATTATCACTTATCATTACTATCAATATTATTAATAAAGACTTTTAAATTATTACGTAATTTGTTATACAATGTCTTTCATACAGTTCGAAAAAATATAAAAATGCTAAATTATATTAAAAAGAAATGAAATGAATGCTTAGATAAATGAAAATTTCTAATGTTATTATAACAAAAATGATGTTATTATTCCTTTTTCATTAACAAATAATAAGTTTACTAATAATAAGTTTATAATAATAAGCTTACTAATAACATAATAAGTAAACATAATAAGTTTACTAATAAATTTTATATATATGAAGAGAACAAATAAATTTTCTCGATGAAAAATAATAATGCATTAAAATTTTAAAATGATCAATGAATACAATAATGATGCATACGTAAAATTCACGTACAATTAATGAATGTTGATTTTTTTTCACGCAATAAAAAGAATTGTTGTAGAAAAAAATCATAGAGATTGAACATTTCTAATATTTACAATCTTTTTTCTCTTTTTTTATTAAAAAAAAAAAAATAAATGAATATAAAAAATGAAAATAAAAAAAAATAAATTGTTTTATAATTGGAATGCTTTCATTATCAAATACTATAATTGCTAAGTGCTATCAAAATTTATAATTTACATTTACAGATGTTAATGATTATTTCGATTCAAATCAGATAAAAAAAAAAAAAATTGCAGAGTGGTTAATGTCTTTTTTTTATCTCCCAATTCTGCTTTTTGATTCTTTCAATTATTGTATTATCAGTAATAAAAAAAAAAAGAAAAATCTAAAAGTTGGAAAAAGAATGCAACAATGACAGAGAAAAAATTATCTTTTATAGATCAAATATTATTCAAATTAGCAAATATAAGATTTTTCGATTTTTTTTTTTCATAAATATTCTTTTCTTCTTTTTTTTAAAAAATCTAATATTTCAAATAAAATAAATGATGAATTTTCAATTGATATAGCTTTTTAAGATGTCTATACAACGGTAATTCAAATAAAATTTTATTTTATTTTAAGATCAGGAGTGAGATAGAAATTACTAGTGATAAGCTAGGAAATGAATAGTAAAAAATAATAATAATAAGCGGGAAACAAGATTTAAGGATCAGTATGAAAAAAATATTTTGATTCTTAAATTTTTCTCTTTTTTTTTTTGCAACTTATTTGTTAATGTTAATTATAGTACCGTAGTGATATGATTAGATTAAAAAATGATAGGAAAAGCGAAAAGTGGATTAATTGGCGGATGAAATCAATGAAGTGAAACTATAAACTTCAAAAAAGTAAATAGTACAAAAAAAGAAAAAAGTAGCATAAATTTCTTTAAAAAAAAATGCAATATCTATTTCATTATCTTAAGATAAACATCTATAAGTGATAAAGTAGTAATGTATTTTGCATGAAATGAAGTAGTGAAATATTTCAAAATTTCTCCCAGAGTACAATCAATATTAGCATATTCAAATTCACATTCCCGTTTCATTTAGAATTAAAATGAAATAAAAAAAAAAAAAAAAATGAAGATAGGTATAACTGATTAATGTATTTAATAATAACAAATTTAATTTAATATTATGACTAACCATCAAATCCCTCTGCAACTGTTGATCGCTTCTGAAAAAAAAAAAAATAAAGAAAGTTAAAAGATAATAAAGTAATAATGTTATACTTTATTTTGCAATAATGTTTTTTCTTTTTTAAATAAATGGAATAATTGTAAAATCATAAAACTGTTTAGATAAGTAGTATTAAAATTACACAATAAATAAATGATACATATTAAATAGAAACACGATATACTTTAGAATATATTCCTGAAGTTTGTTGAGTGAGAAGCATTGTCTTACTAAATCAGAAGTTCTAGCTTAAGATTTAACAAAATGAGCTAAGAAAATAAATTCAAAACTTCATATGAATCATCAAATAAGCAATAGAAACAACATGCTCGACTGCAAAACATTGGCATAAAAGATTTTTTCTTTTCTTTAACAGAATTTTAAAAGAAAAAAGGCAATCAAACTTACATCATTAATTGGTGTAGCAAAATCCGAAAAATATCGTAAATCCGGTTTCTGCAAAGAAAAAAAAAAGGAAAAAGTATTCATTCAAATTAATTAAGATGAAAAGTGAAAAGTCAAATTAATATTAAAAAAAGATATCAAAATCTTTTTTGACCTTTTTTTTAATTTTCAAAGAGAAACTTAAATTTAATTTACTTCATAGTTCATTGGAATTCCATGACTTTTTTTTTTACTTTTTCTAAAATAATCTCGGTTCAACTAGTAATAAATTATAAATAAAAGTAAAAAATATATATATATTTTTTTTAGCATTTAGTTATTTAAACGTTCAACAATTATATCATCTTTTATTAAGTGAGCCAAAATTATGATAATTTAAGTTTAAAAAAAAAATCCTAAAAAGAAAAACAAACACATTTCCCAATGATGAATTTATTTAAAAATTGTTAATAGAAATATAAATTACTTACACGAAAGAAATCGAATAGTGTACTTGTCTTTCGTGAATGTTTCTTTTCAACACGAATTTTCTTTTCATATTGTATAGAACTGAAAAAGTTTATGCTTCTTTTTTTTTAATTTCCCTCTTCTTCAATTACCATCCAATTTTAACAAGCGTAATTTGAAAAATGAATAACATTCTTTTCTTATTTCTCAACAAAAAAAGAAAAAAAGAAAAAATTATCTGAAAATAAATCTAACCTATCAGATGTCTTCCGTGTGGAAGCAGTAATTGATGTTCGAGAAGATCGTTGAATTGGTCCAATGACCTGCAATCATTCTTCTAACTTTCAAAAAAAAAAAAAAAAATAGAAAAGTCTTACAAATCATAGCACAGCTATAATATTAAGAAATAGGATAATAAAATTAAAAAACTTAAAAATTGAAACAATTCTGTGAAACTGCAATTTTTTTTTTTTTTGTGGAGACTTAATAAACTACGAAGGTTAAATATATATTTAATATATCCCGGAATTCCCATGAAAAATAAATTAGTGATAAAATTAAACCTTAAATGTGATAAATAAATCATTTAAATAACTAAATTATAGCATAAATTAGTTCACAACACATCACATCACATCACTTTACAAAATTCAAGAATGCATTATTGTTTATCACAGCATTATGATCTTTCATCTCACAAACAATAACGAAAACAACACTACAAATTTGTATGAATTCATGCAATATTAGATAGAATTTATATTATATACACAGATTTACCGCATTTCGCAAATAAAAAGAACATTTGACAAGGCTGAAAAATTTTTTGAAAATTTAATTTATTCGTAGTATCTAATTGATGAGAGCAAATGCAAAGACCATTATTTCAACTCAGATCTAAATTATTAAATCATAAATGTACTGAAATTAGAAATAATGCATTCAAATAATTAACTTGCTACATAAGCCATTATTTTTTGATATTGTTTAGTGAAACAATTGATCGGATTATCATTGATTAAATTTCGTGCACAAGAAGAAAATTTTTTGCAAAAAAATTTTCAGATTTTTAAATTACTTTCTATAAAATTTTAAATTAAAATTAATTATACCTGATGTGGACCAAATGCTGCTGGTAAAGCTTCTTTCCATTTATACTTCTCTTTATGCTGAATATCTGCATGACGTCGAATATTTTGGGGTATTTGTTCAACACTATTATCTACAAAATAATTGTAATTATAAAATGCACAAATCATATTTTACATTTGTATACAATAGCATTACTTATGAAATTCGAAAAAAAAAAGAGTAGCAAAATCCATTAGTGTTTCTTACATTTTATATACTAATTATTTGATTTCCTTATCAGCATATATAAAAGAAATAAATATGTAAATTATAAGAGAGAAATTTTTAAATTCGAAATATAACAAAGAAACAGTAAAACTTATTATTTAAAGAAAGAAAAAAAAAAAAGTATTAATTATGTAATTTACAGGAATGACTGATGTATGTTTGTAGCTAGTTTTATTTCCTTTAGTACTACCACTTAACCCTAATTAATGAATGACAAAAATTTTAAAGTATAATAACCTTGATGAGATGCAGATGATACAACCATTTCATTGACATTTGGTGATGAAGATGACAAATTTTTAATATCATCTGTTACTTGAAGTTTTGCCCAATTCTTAATGAAATCAGTTTCCTCTTTCAAAATCATTTGACTTTTGCAACGTCCCGAAAGCTCACCATTTCGCGACGATGAAGTACGCAATGGTACTAGTTTCTTTAATGATATCTAAAAGAAGAAAAAAATCATACCGTAAACTCGAGAAAAATATTTTTGCAATACACTTAAAATTCAAAATGAAATTTTACATTGCAAATTCTCAAGCAATAGCAATGTTTTTTTATGAAGCAATCAAGATCGATTTATCAGTTGAAATGATGCTAAAGATTTTAAAGAATACTTAGCATTAAATTTTATGAATTTTGATTCAAAAATTGATAAAAAAAAACAATTCGACCATAATTTCTCATACATATTGATATAATTCTAAATAAAAACTTTCATTCCTTTTCATAATCAAGTGTACTATTTAATAAATTTAGAATATGAATCATAATTATCATATATTTTCAAAATTCAAAATTAATTTGCAAAAAGCAATTACCCGTTCTTCTTGATCATACATTTTTTTAAGTACATTTTTACTTTCAGAACGCCAACGACGATGTTGTGAAACAATACCATCAACATCAATAGCTCTTTCATGATGATTTCCTTCATTTTCACCGATTTCATTTTTTGTTTCAAGTAAACTAGCCTCACTGACTGATAAATCTGAATTGTACATTTCATTTTCCTGCAAAAAAAAACATATATATATATATATATTTTTAAATTTTAATTTCAAGTGACTATTTATAACATTTAAAACATATATTTAAATGTGAAATATTTATGTATATAGTAATATATAGTATATGCTATATAGTAATACATAGTAAAAGTGCAAAAAGAAAAATCTTTGAGTTATGTCAACAGCAATGATTTAAATGTTTGCCTCAATGAATACATTTTTTTTTTCTTTCAATAATTACTACCAGTTTCCCATGAGGCAAAATGATCATATGATGATTTTTCACAAGTTTGACACCGTTTTATTTCATTCATATCCAAAGTGAAATATGGATACAATGAGATTTCCAAAATACAATAATAGTAAAAAAAAAAATACTAAATTCTTAACATTAATTATAAATATGAAAGAATAAAAAAAACTATTTAAAATAAAATTTAATAATAATAACACTGAGGTATATTTACTCACTGTTATGTGAAAAATGATTATTTGCAATTCTAAAATCTTATTCTAATCATCTCTCTTGCACTTTATTCTTTCATGTTTAACTTTTTTTTTTCTTCTTTCTATTCAATAACTGAAATAATTGGAAGAAGATAAATTATGAATTTCAAAAGTAAACATATAATTTATTGCATCGCCATAAAAATAAACTGTAATTTTTGCATTCAATGACAAATTTTTCTTTTCCAAAAAAAAATGTTTTTTTCTTTCGTTAGCAAAAACTTACAGCATAGGGATCACTGTGTTCCGAAATAACGCTTAATTCACGTGAAGAACCCGAAAGTGTTGCTAGAAATTTGATACAAGGTGATGACGATGATGATGATGGAGTAGGATTAACAGTATCCGACGAATGTTCATTTTTCAATTGTATTTCACTGCAAATGTATTTTCACTTCATTGCATATTTTTTAAGCGAAATTAATTTCATTTCTTGCAAAAAAAAAAAAAAAAAAAAGGGTAGGAAGTTTTTTTTTTAATGAATTCATGATCGCTCTTACATAAATAACGAAAATTTCAAGCTTAATTATGAAAATTTTCTTCAGCTTCATCGATAATCTAGGTAAGTACAAGTGAATTAAATATAGTAGGTTTAAATTTCATTTAAAAGAAACATGTGACATGACCTAAAAGGTAAAGATAATATTGGAATAAGTGAATGACGTACTATTACTATCTTTCTGTAATTAATTAAAAAAATATGAATAATTCATTTTCAACAATAAATTATTAAATAAATTTTAAAATAATATTAAATGATAATTGTCTATAACTATAAACCATTATTATAATACCAGTTTATACTCATTAGCGACTATTATTAATACTAAGTTTACCGGTAGATTTTACAGCTGCTTTTTAAGTTTATTGAAATTTAAAAATGAAATTGAAACATACTGCAGTTCAGGTTGCCGTTCAAGTTCCTGAAAGATATAGCCATCTGTTTCATCGGTAGGATCAATTTGAAATAATTTTGCAACCTGTGGAACAAAATTTAATTCAGTTCCATTAATTGTAGATGAATCGGATAGTGTGTTGGAATTCCTCAATAATGATAATTCATCTGATAGATTTTGCAAATCCTTAAATAGAAATAATTTATGAAATGTACAATTATAATTTCGTAATTTAACAAAATTTTAGAGCAAAAAGAAGAAAAAAAAAAAAAAAAACTTACAAGATGTTGCTCCTCCTCATATAACATTTCTTTATTGGGTGTAATTTGAATTGCAGATAAATTTGTCACTGATTGCCAATTCCAATTATCTTTTACTTTATTTAAATCAGTTGATATATATTGCATATTATCATGGCTATTATCAATTTCATCATATGTAGATTCTGAAAAAAAAAAAAGAATTTTTTTTTGATCTAACAGACATAACACATATTTTCTATCGTTATCAAATTTAAGTTATTTCATTCAATTTCATGCAACATGTATGTTAAGAGAAAAAACATTAGACAACAAAAATATAAAAAAATCACTTTTTTTTTTTCCTTTTTAATTTCCAAATTTATTAAAAATTTGTATATGTTAACAAAAGATGTTCAAAAAAAAATTTGTATATGTTAACTTATTGAAAAGGTAAACTAAGGATATGACAAAATGAATAAACAATCAAATATGGTTGACAATTTTCTTCCTCGAAATAACAACTAATTTCGTTTACAACAAAATAATAGCTGATGTTATGTTATTTATTGGTACAACTAGTAGTACTAAGTACAACATTTTCAAATGTGAATAATTAAATTAGGGAGAAAAAAAACGAAAAAAAAAAAAAGCGAAAATATGAATTTTAACAAAAAACAATCATCACTTAAATAATTTCACTTTTCAAATCGATATTTTTATTAACTGAACAAGTAATACTTTTCTATTTGCTTTCTCTTAAAATTAACTAATTTTTTTTTTTAAAATCTTTCTCAAAAACCTGAAAATAAAACAAAATAAAACAAATAAACAAACCATGATCTGATGAAGTATTATGTCTTGAAATAAAATATGATAGTGATGGATCAAATAATGGCTCTTCCATTAATGCACTTAAATCTTCACAAAATGGTGGAATTTTATCCGACTTCTCGTGTAAGTCTAAATTTCGTGAATTAGATCGATGTCGACCATCAACACTTACGCTTCTTTTTCTTCCTGAAATTATAAATGAAAAAAAATATATATATTACTATAAAATTTCACAAAAAAATATTACTATGAAATTTTACAGAAAAACATTATGACAATTTTTTTTTTCTTTCTTACTAATAGTTATTACCAATGTTTAGGGAATTTATTAAATCGATCAATAAATAAATTTTATATAACTTCTTTTTTGTCTTTCTTTTTTCTAAAGACTTATCATTATCGTTACCTTTATGATACTGCAATTAACTACTGCATATTTTCAATATCTAACAATTCGACATTTTGTAATGAGATAACATTTTTTTTTTTTTTTTTTTACATTTCCGTTTTTTCGTTTTTTTCTTTCAAACAAAGGACAAAATTATAACTTTCAAATTTCAAATGTTCAATTGAATTCAATATTTGTAGCATTTTAGTTAACTGAACAGAATACTAATTTGTTAAGCAAATGTAATGAAAGGATGGAATGAAGGAAATGAAATTTCAGTAATTCTGGTTTTAAAAATTATATATTCTGTACTATTATCGATTAATTAATTTTTAACTTTTTTTTTTCCTACAAAAGCCATTCACTTTAATGTAAATTCCGATCATAATAGCTTTATTTTAAAAATGTCTATCACAATATGTTAAATATGTTCAAATGCATTTTGCATCTCGTCAAAACACAACATTTATTATATTAAACATAATAAGAATAATGCGTTATCGTAAAAGGAAAAATAAGAGAATATTATTTTTACCTTTATAATTTTAAAATCAATAATGAATAATTTTTGCTTTAATTTTTTTTCCTAATTTTCAAAAAAAAAAAAAAAAAAAAAAAGAAAGCAGTTTAAAGAAAAGTTAAGATAATTTAACAAAATGAAATATAAATGGATGAATATTATAGAAATTATTTTTTGAAAGAAAAAAAAAAAACAAAGTAAACTAAAATCATTTTTTTTTTAGCTTAAAGCAAAAAAAAAGACCAATAAAGTTTGCAAAATTATCAATGTATTTGAAAAACGAAATTAAAAAAAAAAAAAAAAAAAAGAAGAAATATGCTGAAAGAATTGGAAAATAAAAACGATATAAAAAAAAGAAAGGCTTATTACTTTTAGACAATAGTGTAGAAAGATAAGAAAAAAAAAAAATTGATTATTAGACTTTGCTTACTAAAATGAATACCAAAAATGGAATGAATAAATATTTAGCCATTTTATATCTTTTTCATTTCTCTTTTCATTTCTTTCCTATCATAAATTTTTGTAAAAAAGAAAAAGAAAAAAAAAAAAAAGGAATAGAAGAAATTTTTGCAGAAATTTGCTTAAAAAGGATGAAAAACATATTTATCAATAAATTCTTTTATATATGAGGTATGAATTTTAAATATCTGTGTGGTATTTTGTGTAAAAAAAAAAAAAAAAAAGAAAAAGAAAAAAGGGAAAGAGAGAGAAATGAAAAATAAAACACAATTAATAATGCATAAATAATGTTAAACTAAGTTAAAATTAGATCAAGGATTAAACAAATAAGCATGAATAGAACAAATTAAATTTCATTCATATAATTATAATAATGATAATACAAAAAAACTTTTATTCGCTATTTTATCAACTATTTCATTGATCTTTGATTTTATTGATATAATTACTAAAGTGAAAGATGTTATAGAAAACATCTGGAATTATGATGGTTGTCAGTGTAATTTCTGACAAATAAATGGAAACATTTATATTTCCGTAAAAACTCAATCTACAATATTAGTAAGAGTTGTGAAATTTAAGACTCTATAGAAGCAGAATTTTGAATTAGATAAAAAAAAAAAATTCACAAAAAATATCAAATCAAATCTAAAAAGCCAAAATGAAAACAAATATGCAATCCTTCTTTTCTTTTATTTTTTTTTCTTTCTTTTTTGCTGAATAAAAATAAGCAGATGAAAAGAAATATGCTGAATAATAATAATAAAAAAAAAAGCTTTACTTTCATTTTGAGGAAGTTTACAAATCAAAAACAAAGAATATCTTTTCCCCTTTCCCTCTCTCTCTCTTTGTCAACCCTATCTAAATATAGTTAGCTATGCCCGCAACTAAAATGAAAATACTAAAAATATCTGAAATGATCAAACAAAGGATCTAAAAAAAAATTTTTTTTTAAAATTAAGTTAAATAATGATGACACATAAATATACCCAAATTTCCAAAAAATGCCATTTAAGCGTACATATACGTTAATTTAGTTTGTTTTAATATAAATTTTTTTTTTTTGAAATTACATAATTTGTTCTAACAATACATTATCACAATCGAATATCACTACAATTTATGAGCTTTCTCTTTTGTTTTAGAAATATTTAATATCAGAAAAAAAAAAAAAGAAGATAATATAATAATAACATAACAACGCACAATTAACAAACAATTGATTAGATGTTAAGAAGAAAACTACAATTCACTTTTTTGCAGTCATATATAAAATGTATATAATTATGCTTCAAAATTTTCTAAAAAATCTTTGACAATATTAATATAATATAGTATAGTATACACTTAAAATTTCCAATTTAAATATCTAATATCATTTTCTAAGAGATCAAAAATTAGAATTCCTTCTTTTAATGAATATTATTCAATGATATAGAGTGCTTATCTGTTACCAGCCATAGAGGTGACATATGTCGTCACCTGATATCATTTTTTACAATGAACTAATAACTTTTTTAATATATATATATATATTTTTTTTTAAGTAGCGTCTAAATTTTTAATCAAAAGTATTGCTTCTTTTTGAAGTGTCAATTCGATCTGATCTTACCACTGAATTATTTATGTTACATTTGTCCTAATTCCTCTACTATCTCATATTTGACTAAATTAATGCAATGGAGAAAACCTCAATTTTCTTTAATTTCTCTTAAAAAAAATAGACGAAGAATTTGTATAAATTCGGGCAAAACGATTACATTCATATCTTCCTTTTTTTGAAGAGAAATTAAAATAAATTGAGATTTTCTCCATTATAGTAAGTTGACTGCATATTAATTTAATCAAACAACACTTAATAATTGATTTCAGTGGATTAAAATGAGCAATTTATTGAGAAATAAATCAGTTATAAGAGGATTGTACAGTAGTAAATTGACTAACCAATACAATAAATTGTATCAATTTCTTTATCAAGTGCTGACAATGAAACTGTAATTCGTTCCATTTCAATAGGTGTAGAAGAACTGGTCAACGAAATAAAATTGGTATCGTCGTGATGATCAGCAATATTAACAAAATTTTGACTTTTGAAATTGCAAAATTTGATAGAAAAATTACTTAGCGATCGAACTCTGAACGATTGTTGACATTCCGTCCTGTCAAGAACATCAGCTGAGAATGACTTCCTGAAAATATGCTAGCAAAAGAGCAAAATGTTTGCTTACAGCTTTATTGAACACTGTAATTTGAGAAGTTTATTCTAAACTACTTCTTACGAAATACATTTATTTATTTTAATCAACTATACAATGCAATAATTAACAGTCAAAAATGATACTACAAAATCAGACAAAATGATATATGAACTGTATAATAAACTCTATTGTTTTTCATATTTTTGCTAACATTTAATAACAAAAATGTTGAAACAATAAATTGAATAATTTAATAAAATAAAATTTACAGTTATTTCACATTCATTTTCTTCCTCGTTTTCTTATTTTATAATTACTTTACTATTATTTATCGACAAAAAAAAAAAAAAAAAAAGAAATTCTCATATCAATAAACTTCCAATTAACTTAATATGGAACGACAAGTGAAAAATATTTTCTAATTTATATACGTCTCATACTTTTATACTTTTTATATAGAAATAAGCGTAAGCCTTTATTTTCTGATTAAAATTTTCTTATGGTAATAACATATTTTACTAAATTTCAATACAATTACTAACAATTTAAATTATCATATATCAAAAAAATAAAATAAAATAGTACTCTGAAATATAGCATTAAATATGACAATTCATTGCTAGGAAATATAAAAAGAAACCTGAGTATATTGTTTATCGATGAATGAAATAGAATGGAACATTGTGAGATCAAATCCACATTCTTAACTGAGCAACTTCGTTTCATTTATTTATTTTTTCTTTCAGAAGAAATAAAACAGTTTAATATTTTAGGAAAATAATGTAATTTTCTTTCTTTTTTTTTTTTTTTTGTCAAAGTAAACAAAAAAAATACAACAAGAAAAAAAGAAATAATAACAGATTAGTACTACAATTTTATTTCAGCGCAATTCTTAATTCATTCCATTTCATTCTCTTTTGATAACCTAAAAATATTCGTGAAAATTAATTCAAAAAAAAAAGAACGAAATATATTAATTTACACTTTCAATATTAATCGAAAAAATATATGCATAAACATATGACAAATCAATACGTACAAATCTAGTTCATTTTGTTTTTTTATTTTAAACAATCCTTTCTGTTACTCATTTTTAAATTTTACAAATCATAAAGAGGAAGGGAAAAAAAAAAAAGGAAAGAAAAAAGAAACAAAACGAAACAGTTATTGAAGTGCATATCAGAAAAATAGAAAATATAACTGAGAAATATCTCAAACTACATCATTCATCACTAAATGTTAGTCTTACAATAATATGAAACTACTTGACATATCATTTGTTCTCCTTTATCGTATACATATATATCAAAAAAATTTCTTCAAATTTTTTTTAGAAAAAGGAAATTTACAAATCAAAAAAATAAATAAATATAAATAAACAAGTGAGTAAATAAATAAATAAACATAAATTAATAATTCTTTCTAAATCATCATTGCGTTATTTTTTTTTAATTCATTATTTATTTATTTTTTTTTTTATTTATTTATCATTGCATATTATTAAAACATACACTACATACATTATATGTAATATCAAAATTTTTACAATCAAAATAATGAAAATAAAATTTAAAAAATTTAATCAGAATAAAACATGAATTAACACATATTAGTCAATATAATGACTAAACAACAAATACGAAAAACCTAAAATGTTAAATTAATTTTAACTAAATTTTGATAATTCTTTTAGTTGATAAATTATTGGGAGATATTTAGCTATAGAAATAACTGATATATTTCATAGAATAATTTATTTATAGAAATAACTGATATACTACATAGAATAATTCCAACAATTCTTAATAATTCTTTAGAAAAGAATTAAAAATGTATTTGTGAACAATTTGCCCTTTTTCTTCAATTGATGCTAACTGCTTTGCATATGTATATGCTTTTTCATTCTTTTTTTTTTTTTTTTTTTTTTTAAAAAAGGAAGAACATTGAATTGAATCATACATATATATATATACCACTGCTATTTCTCTCCTCTCAACTATAAGCTATCCATCCTTTCAACCACCTGCGTTGCTATTTCCACTTTTCCACAAAAAGACGGAATAGAAGACCTTCAAGAAAAAACAAAACAAAAAAAAAAAAAGGAAAAAAAAGAAAATTGATAAATTTTTCCTCTTCTTTTTTTTTTTTTCTTCCTTCCTTCTTTTACTTCAAATCTATGACATATGGCACTGAAAAATTGGAAGAAATATATCAAACTGTAAAATTTCTTTTAAATATAATTTACATTTTATCAAAAAATGAATCGTATATTTTATTAGAATATTTCATATATTCAAAATAAAATCATTTTTCATCATTTTCTTTTCTCTTCCTGCTATACTTTTTTATTTTATATATATATATATATATATAAATCTATACAATTGATTTCTGAATAAAAATCTATGCAAATATATTAGATTTTAGGATATTTTCCGATTGGCTAAAAAATTATAAGCATTTTATGTTCCATGAAGGAGAATTTAGGTCAATATATGCAAGTTGAAATTTTTTTTGTTATCAATGAAATGCGTAATAGTCTGCTAATTATGAAATTCGATAAAAATTGATGAAATGATTACATTTATTTTAATAAAACACTACTTATAGAACACAACTTTTCAAGTTTACAATTTATTACATCCATTGCCAATTCATAAATTCAACAATCTCGCCAATTTAGTTTAACAACAGCATTTTATGACAATCCTCTGTCATAAAGATCTCAAGTGATTGTGCAACTTGAATTCTTGCTCATTTCACATCTTCCTATTCATTTGCACTCATTCTGCTAAACATTTACTACTAAATTTACATTCAGATAACCTCAAAAATTTCAATTCACTATTACACAATTTTGATGTCATTATCGTCTTCTAAATAAAGACTGAAAAAAACATCTAAAAAGTGACAAAATTCTTTTTTTTTTTTTTAAATGATCAATGATATTTAAATTGTCTCTTAGAATAAAAACAAACAAACATGAAAACAATAAATTAATGTAATATTGTGAATAACATTTATAAATAAGTAATCAAATTACAATCAAACTTTAAAAAAAAGAATTATGGCGTGGAACAGTGAGGAAATATTTCAATGTTATTTGTAATGAAATAATAAGTAATTAAAATTGAGTTAAAATAAATCGCTTTAGAAGCAAAAAAGTAAATCTGCGTCTGCTAGTATATATATTAACTAAACAAAAATGAATAAATAGATTAAAAATGTCCAAAGATTTCACGAAACGACTCGAATTTTAACGCGGCCCGCCTTTAACCGATGTTGACTCATGCCTACCTGTTTTTTTTTTTTTGTTTTTTGTCCTTTTTTTTTGTTTTGATGATTGCAAATAATTCAAAAATATAGAAATTATGATTTTTGTGATAAATTTTTTCATCACAAATAACAATAGGCATTATATGTAGTCATATAATTTTATTTTATATGTTAAATCTTTTAGCTTACATATGCTATGCTAAGTGAAATTATATTATTTTATATGTATGATCAACATTCATACATTTTAATTAATGTATATGTTATTCTAAGCATCATAAAAATATGAATATTATTATTCAATAATTAAACTCTAATAATATAATTATTATTATTTAAAAAATTATTGTTTAGTAATTAAATTCTTGTAATATAATCATAAACAATAATATCACTTTTTCAATTTATATACAAATATATAAATTCCAATATCAAAAATGTTACATTACTGGTTAATAATTTTTTTCCAGTCATTAATAAATGCATATGTTTGCTAGCATAATATATATATATAATATATATATATTAGCTAACTTAAATTATAGCTTATAGATGTTATGTAAAATTATTGTTTTATATGTATGATTAATAAATATTATATCAATTATACTTTTATGTACTATAATAAAATTGGTTAGTGATAATTTTATTATCATTAAATAAAAAAAAGATAACAACAATAAGAACAATTCAATAAAATATTAAAGTAGTAGCAACAATAATAATAATAATAATAATAATAATAATAATAATAATAATAATAATAATAATAATAATAATAATAATATTGGTTAAAATAAAACAATTTTATCAAAAATTCATATTTTTCATTTTTAGTTCTTTTTTATAGTCTATTTTATGAGGAATGTATAAGTGAAAATAATTTCAATGCTAAAATTTTATGATTGTTTAATAAAATCAAATAATTTCTTAAAAGTTTAAAAATAACTTTATACAAATAGCTTCTAGCACAATACTATTAAGCTTTATCTTTATATTTTATTGATATTTCTATTTTAAATGTTATTTTATTGATATTCCTAATCTCAATGTATCATTCTGATATTTGAAATAAGTAATGATTTAGCTTTTTGATGCTTTATTTAATTTATACATGTAAATAAATAAATAAATATAATTCAAGAAATTGATTAAAAATTATTTAATATTTTTTTAATTATAAAATTAATATAATATGAATTTTATTAAAATTCAAATATCTCAAAAATGAGAAAAGAGGAAAAAAAAGTGAAAAAACTTGCAAAATTATTTTAAATTCATTAAAAAGAAGAATTAAATTTTTAACATCTTCCACTAATCGAACAACTGCTTCAACATTAACAAAAACAAAAAATCCATCAATTAAATCGGAAAATTGGTTTTAATTTTCTCTGTCGTCTATACGTGTGGGTGTGGGTGTATGTATGTGTCTGTCTGTCTGTCTGTCTGTCTACGTGTTTGCATATTTGTTTCTGTGTATGTATTATATATGTATGTATAGTATGAAGAAATGCGATGACGTAAAACACGTTTTGTCTTACGTAATTCTATGAGAAATAGACGTAATTACGCATAACATAGAAATATTTCTTGAAGGAAAAAAAAATGAAAATAAGAAATATATGAATTTCATTTGTAATATATATTTTTTTTATAAACATATACAACAGTCCAAAAAATTGTTCATTCATTATTCAATCAGTCAATCAATCAATCAATCAATCGGTCAATCAATAATTTATTTTTATAAATATTATATAATTTTAATAGGTATCATACATATTACAATAATTTTTTAAATAGAATTAATTTAAAGCATTCATTTCTGATCATATAATAATCCTAAAAGCTCTTTGTTAGCTTTAAATCAATTAATTAATCAATAAATCAATAAACTAATCAATCAATTAATCAATAGTCCACTAATATTAGTTCAAAATCACTTTCATAAATACAAATCTTAACCATTACAAATATTTCTTTTTAAATCCTTTTTTTTTTTTTTTTTTTAAAAATGAAATTTCATTTTAAAGGATTCTTTTGTAATCATATAATAATCTTTAAAAAAAGCTCTCAATTTGCAATTAGTCAATCAATCAATAATTTTTATTTATAAATGCTACGTGGCATTAATAAATCATACATAATACAAATTTTTGAATTTATATTTCATATACATTTGTTTATTTGATAACGCTTATGTGAAATTATTTGCAAATTGCGCAAAATAAACAAAGTAAACAAATCAACAAACTGATGAATGGAGTAAATTACTTGAAAAAAAAAGAAGAAAAAGTGAATTATTTTAAAAGAAGAATTCAACAAAACATTCCATTTCAAAACATTAATGGAAAATTGTGAGAGGGAAGAAGACGAGAGGGAGAGAGGTAGAAAAAGAGAGAGAGAGAGAGACAGAGAGACAGACGAGTAGTGTTTGTTAATTTGTTGTT